TTTCTTCTTGTTGCTATTTGCCTGTACGCCTGCAACCTGCTACTCCCACTGACCACGCACACTTATCCTGCCTGGGATCTGTAATGTTTGGTGACTTTCGGAATAGTCCAGACTTCTCAGAACCCAGAGATGAGGAGAACAAATGGCATTCAAAGCTCCTCTGGTTTTGCTATCTTCTGGGGATCTCTAAAAGCTAAGAGCTGAATTAAAACTCCAGAAGGCCACCCAAGACACTCTGGGTTGTATAAACCCAAACACAGCAGGCCAGGTACCCTCTTTACTATCTGACAGTTTCATCTAGGATACTGAAATCTACATGCCTGCCCTTTCCTGCAGCTATCATTGTGGAAACCTGCGGCTGCCTTGGAGCCCAACCAGGACTTAACACTTTCTGCTCAACCTCATTTCCTGACACTAGTGCCAATTCCTCAAGCCTAGGAACACAGTCTTGTGTCTAAGAGATTCACAAACTCTGTTCTAAAGCAGCACAAGTTTCCAGCCCTGACCTCTAACATTTATACTTCAAATGTTTTTCAAAGGGCTTTCAGGCAGCTGGGCACCTAGATTTGGAGTTCAAAGGTCCAAACTGGAGATAAATGTGGGGCTGTCCATGGAGGGACGTCCCTAAGAGATGCCCCGCAACTTAGGGCCTGCAAAGCGATGCAGCAAAATAAACTAGAAAGGAGACAGAGTGGGAGGCCTGGTAGGGCAGGGCGAGGGCAGCTGAGGCAATGCTACTGATGGGTCCAGGAGAACAAGGGCTGAGAACTGACTGCTTTACTGGGCAACTGGCAATCACTTGAAAACCTCAATTCAGGGAAATGTGCAAAAACTCCTCTATGGATCACTGAACTCTGGACTTCTTCACAGCATCTGTTACAACTGCAATTAATTAATTTTATGAAAATGTCTTTCTTTGATCAACGGTAAATTCCAACAAAGGCAAGGGTCAAGTAAGTCTTGTCCTTCATTATAATCCTGACAGCTCAAAACTGGAGCAAACAAAAGAACCAAGGAACCCAAGAAAGAAGGGCCTCCTTATGCACACGGCACTTCCAAGACACCATTACCACACTGGCCAGCCTGGCCAGAGCCCTAGTCCATGCAAAATCCTGTGGGCAGAGGCCTGAAAGCAGTACTTCAAGTGCCGTCTCCTCACCTTCATTCTCAAGATCTTCTCCAGTTCACTAGCAGTTACCAGAGTCTGCAAGCTGGCATGCTTTGGGCCCATCACTTAGCCAGCAGACTATTTTCTTCCTGTATTCAACAATTCCAATAAGCACAGCAAGGGCTCTTAAATTTGAGCATGCACTAGGATTAGCTGCGGAGCTGTAAGCATGGCTTTGGGAGCCAGCCTGGATTTGTTTCAGTGCGTTGGATGTGTGAGATCTGAGGACTTGTATTCTCACAAATGCCAGGTGGTGACCACGTGGCCATGGTGTTACTGTGACGCTCTTACCCTTGGCCCTTTTTGTTTCTCCTGAAAAGAAACATTCTGAAATCATAGTGTAAGCTAACAGAAAGCATGACTTAATTTGCAAAATTTTTATGAACTTTGAAAAGGTAACTGAAAGTAACATTTCAGCATTCCTCAAAATATTGAAGTCAAGAAGGCCCAAGCCAAGAGAATGGGGTCAGGTGTGCCCCGGGCAGACCACACAGAGCACCATCACAAATCGGGCCTGTTTATTAATGAAGAGTCACAACAGCCACTCCTTGACTAGCTCTGGGCCACAGGCTGTGCTGTTACACCCTGGGCAAAAACGTACCACCTACAGCATCTCTTAAGTAACAGCAATCTAGCAAGCAGGTATCATAATGCATTTAGCAGACAAGGGACAGAACAATCAACAGGCCCAAGATCATGTGAAAAAGGTGGTAAAGCTGGAAATCAAATCCAGGGCTCTTGGCTGGTGCACATACACCATCCCCTCGCTCAATCCAGGCTCTGGATGCAGGCAAGCACCTCACCCTGACTGCCGTGCTACTGCATGGCACAGTGCTGAACAAGGAAACGAGCTCATCCCCTCACCTTGTGCTCTCTTTCTGGCTGTTCAGAGCTGACTTGCCATAGGAGAGAACGATGAAAACAGTAACGCGCACTTACTACTTCAGTGCTCTTCCGAGCACATGCTAGAGATTGATTCTTTTAATCCCTACCACCTTGGAAATAGGTCTGATTTCTCTTCAAATGCTAGAAAATGAGGCTCAGAAAGGTTAAGCAGCATCCAAAGTCACAGAGCCAAGTTGTGGCAGAGCTGGGATAAAAAACCCAGACAGTCTGACTCCAAAGTTCATGTTCTTTTTGGGGATTTTTTGGTGGTACTAGGTTTTGAACTCAGGACTTCGTGCTTGCTAGGCAGATACTCTACCACTTCAGCCACACCTCCAGCCCTTTGTGCTCTGGTTATTTTTGGAGATAGGGTCTCAGTTTTTGCCCAGATTGGCCTGCACTGTGGTCCTCCTATTTTTGGCTTCCCATTGTAGCTGGTATGACAGGTGCATGCCACCACACCCAGCTTTTTTTTTTCCTGTTCAGATGGGGTCTTGTGAACTGTTTGCCTGGACTGGCCTCAAACCATGATCCTCCTGATCTCAGCCTTCCAAGTAGCTAGGATTACAGACATGAGCCACTGGCACCTAGCTCAAAAATCTTAAAGCACTATGTGATTCTACTTCTTGAAAATTAAAAAATAAAAAAATCTAAGGAGAGAAGGAAAAGGAATAAATCATTTCCTGAGGACTCACTTACATATTACTTTTTACTGGAATATACAGTCAGTATCTTGGATCACAAGTATAGATACTCCAGGCGCCAGCCCTGCCTCTAGAGGTACAGTGGGGACACCACTCACCCCCAGTGCCCAGAAGCCTCCTTGCCATGCAGGCCCAACCCTGTCTTTGCTTCTGGTGACTATATTATTTATTAAGTGATTGAAATCTGTGCAAACAGTTACTTGATAGAATCTTGCAAAAGTTAATAGATACAAATTCCCGAGATGATGGCCATACCTGGTGGGTTTGCCAGCTTGAGGCAGGACATGAGAGATGACAGGGTCAAAGACACAAAGCACAAGCAAACAGGTCACAGACCGGACTGTATGACCCATGCAGGTAGAGTTACGTTCTTTATTATTGATGACTGAAGCCAGATGGTCTTTGCAGTATTGTATTACCACAGTCAGCTGCCTAGTCAATGTAGTTCACCAAACAAACAAACAAAACCCAGGGTACTAAAAAGATAGAGAATTTCAAGCATGATGTAAGTGGTAGTAAGAGTCAAAAGGAAACATCTATTTATTGTAATTGGTACTGCTTCTTAAAGTGAAGATTTTTTTTAAACTTTACAACAGTTTAACTACTCTTAAGAAATACATAGTTGAGCTTTGCACACAAACTTGTATTTTAATCATCTGCACGACTAATAAGCCTACACACAATTCCAATTCAAAATGTAACAGCTAGCTACAAAAATGAATTCCAGTGCTGATTTGCTTAGTGAGTCCTGGTAGACAGCATCTGAAACAAATTTGATTTGGCATGGCATGGAAAATACACCATGTGGGAACCCATGAGAAGCCCCAGCACTGTGCTTGCCTTACCTGGACACACCCCACATCTAGCAGTCACCAGCATTTGGTTAATACTCACAGGCAGACCTCTCTGCACCCACAATGACCTCAGCTAGGCCAACTCCATTTCCTCTCTTGTGGACTCACAGGATGAACTCATCATCCTCAACTGAACAAGCCGTGGGTCAAAGCCGAGCACCAGCGCACCTCACAGGTCCCACCAACAGCCTCCCCTTGCTGCTCCCTGGGCTCAGCCCTCAGGGTCCCCGCTGCCTGTTCTCCTCAAACTCATGCTGCTCCCCTATCTATCTAGCCCTGCCAGCAGTGAGACCTCAGTGCAGTGCCCAGGGCCTGGGGTGTCACTCCAGGTCTACCACTTCCTAGCTACACAAGTCACTCAGCCCTGGTGTCTCAGAGCAGACGATCGAGGGCGACAACTGGATCTTCCTCATAGGATCATCACGAGTTTTAATGAACTGTAAATACAAAGGCTGAGTCATTTAAAACTAGCACATAGTAATCGCTCAAGACAGGATCCCATAACAGTTGTCACAACTTGGACCTCAAGTGCCTGTGCGCCTCAATGAGCAGGCCCTGCCTCCCCACCAACTCCTCCCTGAGGCGTTCCCTACCCACCTGCCCCAGGATCACTTCTACAGGGCTGCTCTTGAGCACAGACTGTGTCCCTTCTTCAACCCTGATGCACTTAGTCCTCCAGTGTGTTCACTGAACAACTGTCAATCAAAATAAACCTGAGGTGGGGGAGGGGAGGCTGCTGGGCTGACCATAGACTGTTAGGATACCAGGGTAGCAGGCTCAGGGCCCAGGAGATGGTACAAGCGCTACAGTCAGAGGCTGTCTAGGTCATGAGTACATCATGTCTGGCATGCACCCCTCCCTGCCAGGATGAGCAGGTGCTCCAGTTTCTGGCACAATTCCCACAGTGAAGAGTAAGAGTACCAGTGGTGATGCCACTGCAGGCCTGGCCTAACCTTGAACCCCCACCCAAGCAGGCAGCCTCAGCGTGAGCAAGGGGAGAGGCCAGCCACAGCCTGGGAGAATGATGGCCGAGTCTGCCTGTCCCAGAGTAACATGAAGGGTTTAAGCTCCAAAAACCCATAGAGAAAGCTTTAGTATCAAACCCAGTAAAAATCTGATGATAAAAATACTTGCAAGTGGAAAAACTGATTAAATTTAATCAAGTTCTAAATACCTAAAGCCCAGCTCAAGGCTTCCAACTGAACTTTCCTATATGCATACAAGCTGCAGGAAATGAAAACGGCTGAACTCATCCACATTCTGAGAACAGACTTTGACATGCGAAGAACCCAAGGAGTTTCCCGATCTGAAGGCCTCTGCAATGCCACTCTGAAGTTGACACACATATGCTGCACGTGGAGCCCACTTCTGGTTTCGAGTCTGGTATACCTTTTGCATTCTCTTTGAATCTTTCTGAGCATTCTCTCGCGGTGGGACTTTTCCAAATAACTTCCATCCCAAGTCTCTGTGTCTGTCAAGTCTTGCATTTTGATTTCTAGCAAGCAAATTCCTATAGGAAGAAAATAAAAGGGTTAGGGAATTTCTGCCTGTTTAAAGAACACAGGACAGCCAAATCACTCTGGAAAAGACAAGTAAACGTTCATTTGAGAGCATCAGCATGGTAAGCTGCATACATTAATGCTTCAGGCCTGATTCTCACACAGACCAGAATTATGCAGGAGAAAGACCTTAAACCAGAAATGAACTTTTGGTTGTTTAATGGTTACTTGTATAAATTCTATGATTCAGGGTGGGAAATGTGTTAAATGATAACAAAGTGTGTCAGAAAAAGTAAGCCAAACTGAACTGAAACCCCTGCTCAACCACTCAATTACCATGTATTAACCTCTCTGAATGTCAGTTTCCTATGTTTGACAAAGGAACACCATGCACAATCCACAAAGCTGTTATACAAATTGAAATTTCAGGTTTACTAACAGCTGCTTTAGTTTTCCTAGTCTAGCTTAAATTATTTACAAGGTAAATCTATATTATCTGTGAATGTTCTTCAAGTATCATAAATAAAATCACTCATGAGATGGTCATGGGGTCTCCTCTCCCAAGGACATGTAAACAAAAGTTCCAAAACCCCCAAATCTCAACTGGCAGTAAAATAGATGGAGCTTGAAATGCACTGTATGGGTGCATTCCATAGAAACGCCCGTTGTCCAGGCCCCAAGAGAGCACAAGATGAGCAGTGCCTCGCTGTGCGAGGAGGAGTGAGCCCAAGCAACACAGGGGCTTGCCTCGGGGGACAGCACCAGTTGGGGAGGCTTCCCTGCCAAATCTGGAACAATTTAATTATCAAAGTGATGAGAACAATGGATTGTAACCCACCAAACAAGAGAGAGATCCATGAGCCCAGCAGAGACAAATCAACAATGGATGGGGAACACGCCAAGAGTAATGCAGTAGTAGTCAGTCAGTCAGGAAATGGGCGATGGGCGCAAATGCCAGTGGGTGAAAGTTGGGTGAAGAATAGGATTTTCATTTAGTTTGAAAACAACTCCTACAAATGATTAATTATAAAGGCAAAATGGTTCACTTTACACTGGAAAAACCTGGGGGCGCCATCTTAGCCAAGAGCTCAACACTGATACCACCACCATTAGGACAGAGAACAAGGCCACGGCCTGTGCTGAGACCACTGCACAGGGAATCCATCAGTGACTCTAACCACACCCCAACAGAGGGCCAACCTACAAAATAACTGGAACTGCCCCTCTAAAAAGGCCAGCGTAGGGAGAGACAAAACCAGAAGAGCTGTTCCAGATTACAAAAAGACTAGAGACAATGGTGAAGGCACTCATGATCCTGCACAACATTCGACTTTACAGGGCTTAAGGACAATGGGCAACTGTGATTCTAGGCTGTTTAAAATCAGCTTGGGCCAGGGTTACGTTTCCTGACTTTGACAACTTCCCTGTGACTATGTAAAAGAACACCCTGTTCTTAGGCACATGCTGGTGTATTTAGGGGTAGAAGGTATGGTGCCTCTGATTCCCGGTTCTGATGCTTCAGAAGAAATGTGCACGTTTGAGACTGCATGTGTGCAATAGCAGTAGCACAAATGCAGCAAAATGTAAATCTGGACAAAGAATACATGAGAGTTCCTTGTATTTCTTCCAGCAACTTTCCAGAAAGTTGGAAATTACATCAAGATAAAGTTATAAACACTTTCAAAGGCCCAGTATACCACTATGGTGATACATGCCTATAATCCCAGCTATGAGGGAGCTGTAGGTAAGGACCACTGCAGTCCAAGGCAAGACCCCACCTCAAAAACAAACCAAAGCAAAAAGGGGGCTGGGGACACAGCTCAAGTGGTATAACGCCTACCTAGCAAGATGAAGCCGAGTTCAAACCCCAATACCACCAAAAAAAACACTGTTCAAAATGGTACACAAATAGTCTGTCTTCTTCCCTGCATTTCTGTTGTGGTTATAGTGGAATCCACTCCAGAAATGGTTTCACAGCCCAAGGTGATTTTATTTATGCTTATAAGAAATGAACTTTGAGCTTTCTGACTCGCTCACTCCATTGCATCTAAGACTCCGCCACCAGTGAAGAACTTAAGCAATAAAAACCAGGTAAAAATGTCAGCGCCGCCACCCCCCCCCCGCCCCGCCCACACACACACACCAGAGGGTGCTAAGAATGTCAGCACGAGAAGGATTACATCTTGCTGAAGAAAAAAAGCTGTCCTCTCAGGAATGGAGCTGCACAGGATCAAAGGTGGGGAAACCAAGCACAGTCAGGAAGGGGAGGCCAGGCAGCAAGGAGGGGCAGGGTGCTAAGGGCCTAGGGGATGGACTGGAGACCTTCACAGAGCCTTTGGTGTGGGGACTGGGAAATGGAGCAATCTGGGCATCGGACTCCCACATTTGTGATTGGGAGGCTGGGCAAATGGTGCTGCTTCTCAAGACAATAGGACCAGCAGGAAAACAAAAAAGTACCTGAAACCTCAGGGCCTCAGCAGCAGACAAAACTCACCACATCCCAAACCAAAGCTGTGCAGTTAGCCTTGGCCTAAGAGCTTAAACGCACATGACAGGCCTTGACTTTTGGCATATACATAAAAGGCAGCTTGGGTGTGACACAGTGGCTCATGCCTGTAATCTGAGCTACTCAGGAAGCAGAGAACACAAGACCCCATCTCAACCAATAAAAAGATGGGCGTAGTATGGCACACCTGTCATCCCAGCTACACAGGAAGCAACTATAGAAGCACTCTGGTTCAGGCCAGTCTGGGTATAAACTCAAGACCCTCTTCAAAAAATAACTAAAGCTGGGGGCATAACTGAAGGGTAGAGCACATGCCTAGCAAGCACAGGCCCAGATTTCAAAGCTCAGTATTATCAAAAAAAAAAAAAAAAAAAAAAAAAACCTTGGATATATTAATTTTTGTGGATCAAAGACTGAAAAGTCAAAATAGGCCTCTCCAAGTAAAACGGCACAGACAAAGGCTCTGAGCCCAAAGAGCACCTCCTTTCAGACCAGCAGGTATTGGGAGCCCAGGCCTCACACCGCTGCTGGCCAGGCACAGGAGGCAAGGTGTGCTCGTCACATGAATGAAGCCCACATCCAGCAAGCTGCAGTGAGAGCACACAATGAGCAGACATGGGCCTGGGCAGCACAGGGCCCATTTATTCCAACCCTCGCCACCTTCCCACACAAGGTGCCATTCCTGCCCCGTGTCCAGCAACACTTCCTTCACAGGCTATGGGACCCGGTGAGTTAGCCACCCCTGGGCCTTCCGACATGGGGGCACCAGTAGCCACAGCCACCACCTGACAACTCTTGCTCAGGGACAAAGCACAAGGGCTGCTGGATTCAAGAGCCCACGCCTCAGGATTTTGGTTCACCTGCCCTACCTGTGGGCCCTCGGGTCACTCTGTAAAGCCTAAAGCCTTCTCTGACCGCTGCTCACCTGGGCTCCTAGCACCGTTTCCGGGTGAGTGCACTGGTTTAGCTACAAAGTGTTCCCCCAAAAGGCTCATGTGTTGTACTTGGTTCCCAGCTGATGGCACTATTGAAAGGTGATTGGGTCACTAGGACACTGATCCATCTCATCAACGGGTGAACCCACGGTTCACAGGAAGCGAGGCCTTGGTGGGGGCAGGTCACTGGGGACTTGCCTGCTTTTGGTGCCAGGTGGTGAGCAGTTTTCTCTGCCTCACCCTCAGCCATATGCTCTTGCTTCACCACAGACCAAAACTGACACCACACCAAAATAAATCTTTTGCTTTAAGTTGTTTTTTCCTAGGTTATTTTGTCACAGCAACAAAAAAGGGACTAAGTGTGCATACACACACATAGGCTAAAGGAAGATGTCCACCCAATCCTGATGATCTGTGAGTTTAACAGAGGTAACCTCTGGGCTGGGGAAGGAAACCTGGGATGAAGGGGCAATGGAGGTGGGGGCTGAGCGATGCCAGGGCAGGAGTGGCACTTCACATGTCCTCAGGGAAAGCAGGGCGTTGGGTAGCCTGTAGGGTGAGCACCCTCCATAGAGGAAGAGAACACTTCCCACAATTGCTGGACACCAATGTCTTGCATCCCTGGTAAACTTACAGGCCCTTTGTAAAAATCCCTTTGTTATAAGAAGGAAAGAGAACTTCCTCTGCTGGCAGGATTAGTGCACTTGTGACCTCATCACCTTTCAACAGTGCCATCAGTTGGGAACCAAGTACAACACATGAGCCTTTTGGGGGAACACTTTGTAGCCAAACCACAACAGTGTACCAGTCCTTCCTCCCCACAAACACACATAGTGGCTGCTGGATACACTCAGGGATGCAGAGGTGACTGCCCTGCCTTGCCCTCCTAGCCAGAAGAAGGGAAGTGGGGGAAAGCAGGGGACAGAGTATATCCCTCAGGCACAGAAGAAAGCAGTGCACTCACCCGGAAACGGTGCTGGGAGCCCAGGTGAGCAGCGGTCAGAGAAGGCTTTAGGCTTTACAGAGTGACCCGAGGGCCCACAGGTAGGGCAGGTGAACCAAAATCCTGAGGCATGGGCTCTTGAATCCAGCAGCCCTTGTGCTTTGTCCCTGAGCAAGAGTTGTCAGGTGGTGGCTGTGGCCACTGGTGCCCCCATGTCGGAAGGCCCAGGGGTGGCTAACTCACTGGAAAGGACCTGCTGCTGAAGGCAGAGCAGGCATGGCACCTTGTGTGGGTTTCCTAGGAGCACCTGCTTCTTCCCAGATACCATTCAAATGCCTCTGCAGAGATACTGTGTAGCCAGGCCACTCCAAACCTGCCTCCTTCTAAAAGCTATCAGCCCTGGCCAAAAGCTCCTTTGAAGGCCAGGACCAAGCAGAGGTGCACAGGCAACCACCCGCCACAGGTCTCATTTCTGCAACATTTCCTGAGGGCCTCAACTACATCCAATGACAAAAAAAGGCAGTCTCAAGTGTACAAGAACCTCTGGCTTCTTCCCAGGTTAATGCCACACCTCCCACTGTCCAGCTTCCTCCTCTTGTCTCAGACACCTGCCCACCTGTGTGTGGC